TATATAATATAATATATTAATATATTATATAATTAATATAATTATATAATATATTATAATATATAATTTGTTACAGGGTTCTATCTGCAATAGACTGGTAGGCCAGTCTATTGGTGGGTGCGTAGATAACTGCGGCAACTGGAAGTTGGCCCTGAACGCAGAGCCCCCGTGGCTTTGCTAGCACCCCCATAGTGATTTTGTCTTAACCCGCCTCCTCACGACTCACCCAATTCTCATTGACAGCTGCCTCGTATGTATTATGTCATATATTATGAATAAATAATAAAATATTTTATAATGTAATATGTTTTTTAATTTTAGTTTGCTGCCTAGCGCCTACAGAGTATCTTTCAAAAACTTAAAAACAATAAAATAAATAATATGAAGGTAACAAATCTGGACGAACGTATTCATGTCTTGGACAGTGCGTCAAATGTTACGACCGTCATCAAAGATATTGCATTGAGTGGATTGCAAGAAGAAGCTTTTTATGTGCTTGATATTGGAGATGTCGTACGTAAACATCAAATATGGAAGGAAAAAATGCCACGCGTCAGCCCTTATTATGGTAAGATATCTATTAAATATTATATGTTTCATTTTCTACTATAAATTTCAATTAATTATAGAAATTAATTAATTTCATTATAAAATTTCAGCTGTAAAATGTAATGATAATTTAATTGTAATTGAAGTACTGGCTGCTCTTGGTATTGGTTTTGATTGTGCATCCAAAGTAAGTAATCTAATATTTTGTCATTAGTATTATTGATAATAGATATACCAAGTAAATTAGTCTAACTTATATTTCTATTCATTGTTATTTATAGTCTGAGATTAACAAAGTATTAAGTGTTGGAGTAGATCCGTCAAGAATTATCTTCGCCAATCCAGCTAAACCAGCATCACATATCCGTCATTCTGCTGCTGTTGGTGTCGATGTTATGACGGCAGATAATGAAAGCGAGTTACATAAAATTAAAAAACTTCATCCAACTGCTAAGGTAATAAGAAATATTTCATTTTTCATTATATCTTTCTGTATAATTATAAATTTAATTCAATTATAATTAAGTTATAAATTTAATTTAATTTTTATTTTATTTTAGGTTGTTATTAGAATTCGTTGTGATGCTGAAGTTGCTCAGTGTCAATTAGGTATGAAATTTGGTTGTGATCCTATATTTGAAGCACCCAATCTTTTGCGCCTTTCACGTGTATTAGGACTCAATATCATTGGTATTAGTTTTCATGTTGGATCTGGCTGTCAAGATCCACCAGTATTTTATCGAGCTATACGCCATTCTAAAATATTATTTGATTTAGCAACAGATCTTGGTTTTAAACCATATTTGTTAGATATTGGAGGTGGTTATCCTGGAAATAAAGGTTCTAGTATTGATAAAATTGCTGATGTTGTTAATGAAGCACTTGATGAATATTTTAATAGTAAGTAATATTTGTTTATTTTATTATAATATTTTATACTTTATAATATAAATTTATTATTTTTATTTATAATAACAAATTTTAGCTGATGCTGTTCATGTAATTGCTGAACCTGGCCGTTTTTATGTTGCCTCGGCATTTACACTTGCAACCAGCATTCATAGTAAACGTTCAGTACGTGGTGATGAAAATTCACCAAATACAATTACGCACAATATGTATTATATTAATGATGGTGTTTATGGTTCTTTCAATTGTTTACTTTATGATCATCAACATGTAATTCCAATACCTCTAAAAGTAATCATTATTAAAAATTATTCTATTTAAAAATATTACTTTATAAATTATTAAGTATTAAATTATTCAAAATATTTAACATTAAATATTTCAATATTAATAATTAAGATTGTGGAAAGATAAATTGTTATCAATAATAAACATTTTAAAATTTTAACAGAAAGGTTGTGGAAAGATGATTCCCTCAAGTATTTGGGGACCAACCTGTGATGGTTTGGATCAAGTTGTTGAAAATGTTCTATTACACGAAATGGATCTTGGAGATTGGATAATTTTTGAAAACATGGGAGCATATACATTACCAGTTGCTTCTCCATTCAATGGATTCCCTGTACCAAAAGTTCATATTGTTGCTGATGAAAATATTTGGTAAGAAATTATATAATATTTTATTATATTTAGTTTATTATATTTTATTTGATATACTTTCTAATACTGCAATTATACTGTTCAAATATTAAATATAAAGCTTTTGGTTATTATATTTTGTAGGCATTTATTAAAAGATGCTTTGCCTTTGACTGAAGAACATTTTGTTATTGGCAATACTCCAGCTAATTTACGACTTGGTTTGGATATCGGTGGAACTGACACTAATGCATGGCATAATTCAAATATTGAATTGACATCAACTCAAATTTTAGCTGATGTTACTAATCCACCATCATCATACTTTTATGATTATCTTGAAGTTGATCTTTAATGCATATATATTATAATAACAACTTGTTGAAACAATTATTCGATATTTCTAATGAGAAACCACATTTTCATTTCTCATATAGAATCTTATGACATAACTTGAGAAATAACTATTTTTTTTAAGTTTTTGTGTTGAGATTATGTATTTTATAATATTTATCTTGATTAGTTTAAAAACCACAAAATGTAATATATACGCTTTTATCCCATTTAAAACTGGCAACATTACTAATATTTGATGCCATAATTGAAAAATTTTGTTTTTTTTTTTTTTTTCATAAAAAAATTAAGAACGTGCAAATTATTTCAATTGCAAGATGATACATGAAATTAAAAAATTAAAAAATATCATAAAAATATCAAATATAAATTAAATTATAAATTAAATTAAATTATATTTTCAAATTATTGTTGAAAAATATCTATAGTACCATATTGTATGACAATTTAAAATATTTGTATATACTTTTAGAACTATATATTGACTTTTGTGGTAATTAAAGAAATGTTTATTAATTTTTGACATGAATAATTTGCATATTTAATATAGACGAAAGTTTGTCATTTTTATATAAATTATATGAGTTAGTAGAAGATTTATCTAGTAAAAATGCTATTAATTTTCATAACTGTCTTTATGAACAATTTCATATTTATGGTTTTATGTGGTTCTTTAATTTTAAACACAAATATTATTTACATAATTTACATGAAATATTTAAAAAAAACAAAAGTAGTGATTTTGTGTAAGAACTTAAAAAAAAAAATGTTAAGACATTTACATATATATGTAATTTATATATATATATAATTACATCATTTTATATTATATAATTTATATATATATGTATTTAAATAGTTTATATATATATAGAATATGTATTTAAATAGTTTATATATATATATATATAAACTATTTAAATTATCATTGTTATTTAACATGATTAACAACAAGAAAATATAAAAAAAGAAAAAAAGTGAGGGAAATGTAACTAATAGCATTGAAGGTGACGTATGTGTCCAACATATGTATAATAATGATATAAGCACAAATATTTTATTCTCTTGATTTCATTCATTTCAAACGTGAAATTAATAAACTCTGTAGGATTGCTAGGATTTTTAGGCATTGAGGCAGCTGTCACAGGAAGAAAAGATAATTAGTTTCTTAATTAATTATTACTCCTATTGTATTATATATGTCAACTATTATTATTGTTAATTAATTATTATTAACAAATGAATACATGTAATAAAATATATAAAATCAAATTAAAGAACTTTTAGTTCTTATTCCACCTTTGTTTCTTTATATCTTTGCAGAGATTTATATACAACTTAAGTTCAATTGATTAATAATTTATAAGCATATATTATATAAAATGTAATTAAAAGATAAACATATCTAGCATCTTAACTAAATCTAATATAACTATATCAAAGACACTGATTTATGAATTATCATGGAATTTATTGAAATTAGAAATCTTAAGTACTCTTAGTATACATTTTTGATTAATATATCAACTAGAAATAGAACTTGTGCATCAAATAAGTTCATCAAAAAAAAAAAAAATATTGGTATGCGTAGTTTTCTTATTTACACATTTGTAAATTATCTCTGTTATCATCAACTTTATTATAATTATTTATATATTTTATATTTACTATTATTGCATAATTATTATTGTTATATTATTATAAAATATATATTTAATAGTATTTAATCTTTTATTCATTAGTCTAAATAAGTTAAATATTTTTCTTAAATAAAGTTATAATTAACTATTAGTTATTAATTCTATATTAATTTGTCAATTCTTATATATCTTATTTTTAATTCAATTCAAAAAAAATAAATATTTTTTAAATAATATATATATATTATAAATATAAACAATTGAAAATTTTTAAATTTATATGACTATATATGTAATAAATACATATTATGATATTTTTTGTGATAATTATATCGTGTATTATTATATTGAGTAAAAATTCTATTATCACAAAAATTCAAGAATTGATAATATATTCATGTATTTCTCTAATTCAAGAACCAATGCTGATTGTCACAGATTCATTATATTTAATAATAGAATAATGATAAAAAAGATTTCTTTTCTTTTCCTTTTTGATTTCGCATTAAGATTAGATCGCATTATTCCTTGTAAGTAACTCATATCTGTGATTATAAATAAAAATTACAAGTATATACTTTTTTATTTTTATAAGAATAAGCGATCAATAAATAAGAGAAATCTAAAATTAATATCAAAAGATCAAGTGGACTGATCAAGATAATTAATCAAAAAAAAAGATCTACATATTCTCTTGAAATGATTATTGATAAAGTTTGAAGGTAATACTATCGAATAGAAGAATAATTCGATTATCGCATCATGAATTATCGCATTTAAGTAAATATCTCGATGTATATTACATGAATCGAATCGAAGATCTGAATTGGTCAAGGTTTTTGGACAGAGTTCACATGGACATCAAGTAATAATTTTCGCTGCGCATTGTGAAAGGTATACTGTTGTTTTGTTTGCAATGTACTGTCTAACCGGATGATTGCGTAACAATTGCTAATCTTTTCATATCTTATACGCTTTTCCGATACCTCTACTTATGTTTCGATCTCTCATAGAAACATCATTCGATGTCAATAACGATTATTCTTTTAATTAAATGATCAACATTTGATAAAGTAGATAAATTATTTAATATAAATTTTTTTTTGGAAAATTTAAATATTTTCAATTAATAAATTATATTTAATCATATTTAATAAAATATATTTAAAAAAAGATTTATTTATCGATATATTTCGATATTTTGATACCAAATTAAAAATAATTGATTTTATTTTATTATGCAATTTTATATGAAAATTAGTCGAACTAATTGGAATCATTAATTTTTTTAACAAACATTCATTAATTTTATTAATTTCAACTGACTTATCACCTATCCCAATTCTTTATTCATTTTACGTTTTTAGATGCTGCTACCTGTGAAAGATAAGATCTTTATATAAAATAAGAATCGATTACAGAATATCAATCATCAGATATTCTATAACATCGGAATTGATGGTATTTTGATTGCAGATCAAAATCAATATTTTTATAATAATTGAAGAAAAAAATGATAAAGAAAAAAGTTGATGAATGATCAAACTAGATATTGGAGAATTATAAGATTTCAGTTTTTATATCTTAAAATTTTTTATGAAATTTTTTATGAATTCACTAGTTTTTGATTTTGTAAGATTTTCAAAAATGTTTAGATTGAAAAAAGGAGTATAACTGTAATAACAAAAATTGATTACTTTATATTGATTCTTAAATAGATACTTTGTAAAAAATATTGTCACAGACGAGTATTATCAATATGACGAAATAATTTTTCATAAGCATCTAAAATAGAATTTTTTTAATTTAATTGAGATATTACTAGATAATATGATGTTCACCAAATTTTTAAATAAAAAATAGAAAAAAAAATACCTATAATAATATTGTAAGTATTTGTATTTATAAAATATAAATAAAAAGATGAAATATGTAAACATTTATGTTATAGAAATTAAAAATTTATGAAAAAGAACGATTTTTTTCATAAATTTTTTAATATGTCAGAATTTTTCCTGTTAAACTCATTAAATAAATTTCATATATTGTTAATACATAAATTTTTAGTTTGATTTATATTATTTATTTTTTTTTTACATAAATATTTTTAAACAATACGTTTTATTAAAAATTAATAAAATTAAAATACTTTCAATTTTCTACAATCCATTATAATTAACGTCACACGATATATTACATAAAAGTTACTTTTAGGAACAGCCTAATAGAAGATACACATGACACAAACCACGCGTACAGAATGTTGGTCTCGGTGCGTGGATAATCAAAGAGCGCAGGAACAATATCAAGATCAATTACGTAAAAGGAACAGAAAGAAGAAGAGGCTACGAGATTTCTTTTTATTTCATATGTATAAATACCGTTAGCTGTGTATCGTGAATGACCCACACTTTCACTTTTGTAATTAACGCAAGTATACCCGCACCTCATGTTTACCCACCAACCGCCTGGAAACAATATGCGGATTTCCCTATGGAATCAGTCCCGTTCACGGACAAATAATTACTATTTTTGCGTGCAGTTTCAACGAATGGACGACAACAGCCTTTAACTATCGTCTTGGTGACTTCTTCATCGTGGACATGGATGTCAAATCGTGATATCCGCACGCGTGCACCGTGCTGTTGTTCCGGTGTGCAGCTGGTGTAATCGCGGTTTCAAATCCTCATCCGATGTCTGGCATAACATATAATAACAGCTATGATACAAGTACGTTCTATAGACGATTTCACTTTTAGCCAAGAGGCTGTATCCTCGTCTCACCTCTAACGAGACAGAGGTTGACTGTCGAGCACGCGCTCTACGCGAGCCTTCTTTTCCTCTCTTTCCTTTTCCCAATGTTGTATCTCATATTCGAAGACAGTACGACGACGATATGAACGATAATAATGCCGGTTTACATTGGACTGGACCACCATGTTTTACCGTCGAATGTAACGTATCCTTTAAGAATACTCGTGTATATGCGAATATACACACACACACACACACTAATATAAATGTACATAATGTGACTGGCGTCGAGTTACATGCTCTCAACCACGATATATAGGTTCACCGAGTTAAAACAGAAATTAGGAGCGAACCGTGTCCCCTTTCTCTTGCCAAGCCAAGCGTGGTATAAAATACTTTCCCTCTCGCGAGTTGAGTCAACGGCAAAGCGAAAGAGCGAGCAGGAAGGAAAAGGCAGGGGCAGCCAGGCAGCTGTGGCTCGCGAACGGAAAACCGGAAAACGATCGCTTCTAATCAAGAGCCTCGAGCGTTCTCCCTTCTACTTTGTTCTTTGTCTCTCGCTTTGACAACGAATCGCTTCTTTTTTTTTTTTTTTTTTTTTTTTTTTTTTTTTTTTTTTTTT